TAGCACAAGGCTAGGCACACGATAGAAATCTAGTTGAACTAATGACATCAGACTCTGCTCTGTTCCAGTAGGGAAAGGAAGGAAGAGAGCCAGAAGGTTTTAGGCCATGTTGCGGATGGGAGGAGAAGGGAAATTTAATGGACCTCATCTCAGCCTGGGGATGAGGACAACTTTTCATCAGGTGGCATCTGGCAGATTTGGGCTCCTCCTATTTCTCTGGTCCCTCCCTCTCTGTTCCTTTCGCTGGTTAACTGGAGATACTCCCCAAGGTACCTTTTTTTTTTTCTTTTGGTTCTCTTCTTATTCAGTTTCTCCTTTAGCGACCCTGTCCAATCCCAGAGCTTCAGTTAGCTAGTTCTTGGCAGGTGACTTTTAAATTGACATCTCATGCATTATGCTAAGTAAAATAAGTCAGAAAGACAAATACTGTATGATCTCACTTATATGTGGAATCTAAAAAAGCTGAACTCCTAGGAACAGAGAGTAAAATGGTGGTTTCCAGGGGCTTGGAGGCAGGGGAGATGAGGAGACATTGGTCAAAGGCTCTAAATTTCCAATTATAGGATGAATAAATTCTGGGGATTTTTAAAAAATATTTTTAATGTTTACTTTTGAGAGACAGAGAGCAGGGGAGGGGTAGAGAGAGGGAGACAGAGGATCCAAAGCGGGCTCTGTGCTGATAGCAGAGAGCCCCATTGCAGGGCTTGAACTCATGAACCATGAGATCATTACCTGGGCCAAAGTCAGAGGCCCAACTGAGTCACCCAGGCACCCCAAGTTCTGGGGATCTAATGTACAGCATGGTTACTATGGTTAACAATATTATATACTTGAAGTTTGCTAAGAGAGTAGATCTTAAACGTTCTCACCCCCCCAAAAAGAGATGGTACTTTGCCATGGGACGGAGGTGTTAGATAACACTGTGGTGGTAATCATTTGCAATATATAAGCGTATCAAATCGGCACAGCTCTACACCTTAAACCTATACTATGTTATATGTCAAGTGTACCTCAATAAAGCCTAAAAAAGAATAAACACCTCATCTCTTTTCTAAGCCTCAGACCCACATTCCCAACTGCCTAGTATATATGGTAACATCTAGCATCGATTCTGCTCTTTCATATCCATTTTCTCACCTGGCCTTTGCAGCAGTTCTGTGAGAAAGTCAGGGCAGAATATGAATGCATTTTTTTAATGTTTATTTATTTTTGAGAGTGGGAGGCAGAGACAGAGAGGGAGACAGAATCCGAAGCAGGCTCCAGGCTCTGAGCTGTCAGCAGGGAGCCCGACGCGGTACTCAAACCCACGAGCCATGAGATCATGACCTGAGCCGAAGTTGGACGCTTAACAGACTGAGCCACCCAGGTGCCTCATGAACGCATTTTTTTTTTAATTTTTTTTTTCAACGTTTATTTATTTTT